TCTCCATGAAGACATTTTTCTCTTTTCCTCCCATTTCTTGCAAAATTGAACAGAAGAGAATGGAAGAGATGAGTAATACCTCTCTAACTTTTCTGATGAACTATGGATTCCTTTTTTCATTCTGAAAGTCCATGACATTGGGTAAATCCAATACACTTAAGGTGTTCAGTTCTCTTTATGCGACTGACTTATTTCCAAAGTGTGGTCCTTGTGCTGAGTTGCTTTAGTCGTGTCCAACTCTTTGCATCCGACCCTTTGGACTGTAGCCCACCAGACTCCTTGGTCCCTGGGATTTTCCAGGCAAGAACACTGGAGTGGGTTGCCATGCCCCCCTCCAGGGGGATCTTCCCCACCCAGGGGTCGAATCTGTGTCTCTTACATCTCCCACATTGGCAGGCGGGTTCTTTACCACTAGCACCACCTGGTATGATTGATCAAATCAGGAATTTTTACCATTCTTCAAGGTTTTGTTAAAGCTTTGTGGGCATAACGTCAGTCCATTTTTCTAATATTTAATGAGTAGGCATACAATGAATATATTATGTTACATCTGACCCTGTTCCCCTTTCTCCTCAGCCACCTGACCCACGATCTCCCTGCTACCCACTTGGATTACCCTACTCAGCTCTAAGCAGTCCTCTGATGCCAGCCTTTTCTTGTTTCAATCCACATGGTCAGAAGACTCTTCTAGGAATAGATTCTTTCATCAGGTAACTCCTTTCCTCCAAAACTTCATTTTCCTTAGGATCAAGCTCCAATCCTCATCATGGCATTAAAGTCCCTCTGTAATTTGTTGTTACCTTACTTATTCAATTTTGGTCATTGTGATTTTATAAAAGATATCTCTGTTCCCAGTTGTGCCAGTCCCATAAATCAGCTGTGAATGTGATGCACCAGTTGCCTATTTCCACCCTCTGGCGTTTCCATGTGCCATGTCCTAAGGGTACATTGTCTTTCTCTTTTTCTCTCATGACTTCTATTTATTCTAGAATGAGGTTCTTCTTTTTCTTATTATAATTAAGATTCTATTTTTTATAGCACCGTGTACTTTATACTGTGTGTCAACATAAAAAAATATTTCTTTTCACTGTTAATTCTCCCCACAGCAGCCTTTTAACAATTTTGATCTTTTAACAATTTTGAACAGTTTTGTTATTTTTATGTTGACACCTCGTATTTCTTCCTAGACTTTTACTCAGCTTGAGCACTCATCTTAATACAAATGGCTCCTATTAACTTATGGGTTATTAAAATCCAAATCCATCTTCAAAAGGGAAATATTTTTCTAATAGTGATGTTATTTATGATATATACTCTAAGCCATATACAATATTGCTATAAAAGATTGAGATTATTCAAGCGAATGTGATGTTTAGGCCCAGATGATGTTTATAATCAAGGATTTTAAAAGAAAGATCTATCCAGTTGTGGCACCATTGGTGTAAGTGTATAGCTTTTCAAAGTAAATACTTTGAGTAGGAAAACATCTTTTTGGATCTATTAATTTTAATGTGTTGGTTAAAAATCAGTATCACTTTATTTTCTTCACCACTGATACTATAATTTCAGATAGACACAGTTTTTTAATGACTTTTGGATTCTTCAAAAAGTATCCAGTGTATATAAAGCATATTTTGCACTTTCATTGAAAACTAGCATGCTGATTCATATGGCAATATTGCAACATAAGGGGAAAAATGTAAAACACAGACCAATGCGAATACCCCAAATCAAGATTCAACCGCTCTTTTCAAGTTTTAGCTGAAATTTGAAATGATTTATTTTCAATAATAGATGGCGCTTCCCAGGATTCTTGTTTGTTTAGTTGAAATGCTTTGGCTGTATGAAATATCTCTGCTATCAATTTTTAAAAGTAATATAAAACAATATTCAAATAGTACTTTGGTAATTGACAGGAACTATATCTGCTATCGAAGCTGCTGTATTTATCAAAATTAACATTCTAAGAGATTATGAAAAAGAAGCATTTGTAAACTTACTTTTTGAAAATATATAGAAGTATCAACTTTTTTTTAACTTTTCTACTTATTTTCAACTCTTTAAATGTTATTCAATTACTTTAAAATATATGTATTTTTAAAATTTACTCAATGATTACAGAGTTTATAAATTTTATAGAAGGGATTTTTAATATTTGCAATGACATTTATCTTAACGGGAAGCAAAATATAAACAATTAAAAATTCTAGAGAAATGTTAAGGTGATCAGGGCTCATTAAGTCCCTTAATCTGAAGTTATTAGCAGATAGCTGCTCCAGAATCCCACTTCACACACACACACACACACACACACACACACACACACAGAGCAATACAATTATTTAAACCTGAGTTCAGCCTTAGAAAAACAAATGTAAAACTGAATTAACTTGAAACAATTGTAAGACAAATAAATTCATTATTTAAGGATGAAGCACCTATGTTTCAGGGAAAGAAACATTTCTTCATCATGCAGTGGGTTTAAGGCAATAACACACTATATGACAAGAACTTATACAAGACTTCATAACTGACAAAGCACTGCATATACATTGAGTCCACAGCAGAATTACAATTTGGGAAGGTAAAGTATTAACTTCAGGTTATTGATCAGTAAGCAGGCTGAGAGAAGCTAAGTGAAGGTCACCAAGCTAGAAGTAGCAAAGCTGGGACTTGAACTTCATATCAGCATACCCTGTATCAGGTTCTCTTTTTCTCTATACCATTCCATTTTCATTCTTGTAATATTGGACATGGGGACATTATGGACAAATATGATAGATCATGATACAGAAGAATGATAATAATCAAAACTCAGATTTTTTAATTTGTGTATGTAATCTAATATGATAAACCATGTGAGAAGTTTTTATAAATGAAGTTAAGATATTCCAAGAGAGCTGAAAATCAAAGAAAGTATAAATTCTTAAAAAAAAAAAAAACAACAAAAGTCTTGCAAGTTTTTCTGTTTTCTTTTTTTAATATTAAGCATTCTTATAGAAGGCATGCCTAGGGTCATTTGATCAAATAAATATTCTACTTTTATTTTCCCAAACAAAGGATAAACTATAGCCTTTCGCATAGGTTATTTCAATAGGAAATAAAGATTAAAGCAGGCAAGCCCCAGGAGATGTTTTAAGTTGTTTTCATTTTAATGAAAACATGACTTTGTTTTCTTCCTGTTCTATCTTTGGGGTCAGTTCAAGGTTTAAATTAACCTAGGTTCTTGTGTATTTGTCTCTGAAGATGAAGTTAGCAGTAGATAGTTGTGGAAATGAGAGATTAATAACTTTTGTTGAACAGAATCAAAGAGAATACCACATGATCATTATAATAGCCACTCTCCTCCTAGATTCAGGAATCAAATCAGCAGAAGAGATGGCTAATCTTGTTTTCTTGTGGAAATGAAGAGCAAGTCAAGGCTCAGAAGGGAGCATTTAATAATATGGAAGAGGAAACAAGACAGGATTTATTCTTCAACTGGGTAGATAAGAAATGAAGACTTGTTTTGTACTAGGGCAAAGATGTTTCCTTAGACGTCTTACCATGTGGATTTAATTAGCAAAATCTTTGATATGTAGTAGTGATGCAGTTTGTCTGAACTCCTGTCGCTTTGATTCTCTGTGAAGGAACATGACACGTAAGTAATGAAGGGCACCAATTCAGAGCCCTGCTATATGCATTTATTTCTTTTTTTTTACAACTTGTAGAAAAATAGAATCACTTGTGACAAAATACACAAACGGTTAGCTGTAGAATTATAGAGCTGACAGAAACTCTACAAATCATTCAGTGTAATTTATTCAATGTACTGGTTGATATGCCCACTTACAGAATTTGAAACCAACACAAAACATTAGTATTTCAAATAGGGCAGAAGGATGAGAATTATACTTACGAAAATGAAAAGAATGTTTATGGAAAATTTACAGAATAGGTTGGTCTATTTCTGTCAACTACAAAGATTGTTTACGAAAGGAAACTGAAAATAAAATGGCTTATCCTTGCCAGCTTTTCTTGGGAAGTATAGTAATATAGTGACTATTGCCCTAAAAGGAAAGTAAAGACTTAGTTTCCATTCTTGTTTCTTCATTAATTTATTAGACACTTAGGGGGTAACTCACCAATTTCTGTTATTATTTTGTTTGTTTCTCAATAAGATCAAACATTATATTTATTATCATGAGTTCACAGAAACATTGGAAAGATTAATAAGATATTATTTTTCAAGAGCTTGGAACACATTGTGGTTCTGCTATTTTGGCAAATAAAGTAGATAAATGAATAAGTTAAGCCTTAGTACTACACTTTTTTCTTCTTTTTTAAATCACTAGCAGTTGCCAAGAGTTACCAGACTTTTTTTTTCATTTTACTTTGTTGTTTTCTCAAAAGTCAAATCAGTAGAAGAAATAGCGAATCTTGTTTTTGCATGAAAATGAGGAATAAATGAGTTCACTTTCCATTCTGCCTTATTCTTTTAGATCTTAATATAGTAAACTGAAAATTATTGTACGATTTTCTCATGGATATTTACATTGTTTTTCCTTTTCCGGAAAACTTCATACACTAACTATTTCTAGCCATGGCACACTCTATTAAACTTTCTAAATAAATAACAATGTCTATTTTAAGCAAATATTTTAGAATTTCCACAGACTTGGTGTTGTAGGCAATCAGAAAAGGGGGCAGGTTTTATTAAATGTCTTCTAGATCAGCAGTCCCCACCTTTTCAGCATCAGGGACTGGTTTCGTGGAAGGAACTTTTTTTATGGACTGAAGAGGTGGGGGGGCGGGGAATGGTTTCAGGATGATTCAAGAGCATTACATTTTCTGTGCACTTTATATCTGTTATTATTACATCAGCTCTACCTCAGATCATCAGGCATTAGATCCTGGAGGTTGGGGACCCCTGTTCTAGCTCCAGGGTGGTAAGGTCATACCTATATTTATTTATACTATAATATTTAGAGAAAAACATATTGATCCGTTTCAGTGCTAAATGATATAGAGGGTCATTGTTCATACTATTTGATTTCTAAATAGAACATGATCCACGATGATGGTGTTATAGATAACATTTTATGGATTTTATTTATTAGCATAATTTAAAAATAATTTCACAAAAATTGTAATTTAATAATACACCTTGGTTGAAATAATTTGAAGTTTATTTGTAACAGAAATTTTCAAATATATTGTAGGATTTATGGAAATAAAATGTTCAGTGCTCCCTCTCCTGGTTTTATCATACCAGTGAACTGACCTCTTTTCCCCAAATTGTGGTAATAGCAGAGAAGACAGTTTTGAAAAACCAAATAAGATACCATCATGGAATATTGTATTTCTGATTTGACTCTTTCAAACCCATTCAAATTGTCCAAGAAACTTATCCACTGGTTAAAGTTTATTACTTCTCCAAATATGAGATATATGAAAATAGAAAATATGTACAATAATGTTGACTTTAGCCTTTGAAACAGTTTATTTTATTACAATTTATATTATTAAGAGTGAATAGGTAGCTTCTTGGTTTAATTTTTGTTCTGTGTTATTTTCTAGTGATGCTTTCTTGTTAATGGTTTTAGCAGTGCCCTAGTGTCCTGAAAGGCCATTCCAAATAGAATTTTAATTATTTTAAAGAACTCAAATATTAGAAAATCTCGAATAGAGAAAAAAAAAGTTTCAAAAGAATTACTTACTATTGTAAAGAAGAATATTTAAAAATTATTGAAATGTCCATACTCAAGTTTATATGATTTTTTACTGAAGTTTTGTTTGCTTTATTTTGTCAAAGACTTTAAGCTACTTCTTATATGTAGGACCTGCAAAAAATATTTCCCTTTCCACTTACTATATGCTTCTGGGTTTTAGGTATCTTTTAAGAATCTCTGTGGAAACTCAAATTTCACATATTGTTACCCTCACAGCAGCATGAAGTACATGATTTTGATAATAAATGTCTAAAATCCAATAGTCTGTAAGGAAACAAAAAGCATTTTTCCTACTGATTAAAATGCTTTTTTTTTCAGTGACACATCATATATACTTAAGAATTATAAAACCTCTTAGGAAATTATTTCTATTTTAATTGATCTCTATTTAGCTGATTTTTAAAAATAAACTTATTTTTTCAAAATTATATAAATATCTTACAAAATTGAAGAGAGTCTGGGATTTTTACAATTTTGATTTTGGGGAAATTACATCACAAATCAAGATAGAGCAATTATTATAAAATCTACAGGAGGAAATCATACCTTTATCACATATTGTTACCTACATTTTCAGTAAAGCGCGCCACGTTTTAGATTTCACATATTCTGAACTTTGCTTTAAATTGGATCTGTAGTGGCATATCATCATCTTTTTTATATCAATATACATTATCTCACTAACTGATCAGTAGTGAGGGCTTGATATACAACTTTTTAATCTTTTAGTCTTCAAAGTTGTTTTGTAATTCCACTTTTAAGGGTAGAGTTCACCAATCCTTTTGCTGAGATTTGATAACTGAAGACTGCTAACTAAATTTCAAGGTATTCTTTTATGACAAAAGGCATTTGCAGGATTTTTTGTGGCAATCCACATTTTCAGAGGATGTTTTTTAGGGGAGTGTACAGGGCAACATATCCAAGTGGGTACTCATAAAGGAAAGAGGAAACGACTGTTGGGGAAATCCTGCTCCAGGTTTTCAGGCAGCCCGTATGATTGACACATGATATCACTGGAGGCGTGTCCTGGAGTGGAGGTGGAGGTGGAGGCGAAGAGCTGAAATTCTGCGGAGCCGGAGTGGGACTGCTCTGTAAGGCACGCAGTGGTTTGCAGAGTGATAGCCGCAGACACAACTCCCAGCCCTGGAAAAGGAACAGCTACAGTTGCTGTAAATGTGCCTGAAAAGCAATTTCCAATCTTTGCTTTAGGTAAGAACTGTTTCCTTCCTTTCCTTCCGTAGACATTTTAAGGAAAGATCAGGTGAGAAATGTTGGCTTTTGCAAGGAACTGATTATTTTTTTGAACTCGCTTTAGATCTAAGATTACTGGTTGCATTTCAAATTACCAGTAGCATTCCCACTGCTAAAACGAATGCTCTTAAAGTAAATGCTACCACTAAAAGAAAAAACAGGGTCCTTTTCCTCCCCACCCCCACAACCACCTCCCCCCCAGCCAAGCAGTAACAAGTTTCAAGTCTGAAACAGTCGGATGTGTGAAAAACTGGGTGGGTTTTTTTTTTTTTTGCCAAAGAGGGGCTGGCATTCGGTGTGTGGACCAAATGCATGTTTGTTTAGGCATTGTTGGCGACCGAATCCCGAGAAGCAATTGTTTAAAACCTGAATTTCCCGTCTCTGTGTATTGATTTCCAATGCGCAGAGGCGTCGCTTGAACGTTGTTTGAACTCTTAGGCATTCCAAGGGGCAAAAGCACTTCGGCAAAAACGTGCAAGACTGCATGTTACTTTGGTTCGCTGCTGACACGCCGACTGTGCGCCCGCCTGTCAATCACAGGGAGCAGCAACAGCCAGCACATGGGTGCGGGCGGCGGGCGAGCTGGCGAGCGGCCCGCTCCGCTCCACTCTTCGCCCGGGCGGCGGAGCGCGCGGCCAGTCCAAGTGCCTGGAAAGAAAGGGAAATTAACGTGTTCTTATCTCTAATCGTTTGTAGCAGGCGTTTCGGCCGCGGAACAGGAGGGTCGGAGGACTGGGAGTGATAGCTGCCCGGGAGAGGCTGACTGCCAGGACCGGAGTTCCCAGGGACGCCGTGCCCCCACTTGCCCGGCGTGCGGGATCGGGAAAGTGCCTGGACCTGCGCGGGGGCCGAGGGACGACGCCCCGCCTTCTCCCCGGAGGAGAACCCCCAAACCTCGCTCCCTTCACCACCGCCCCTAAAAAAGCGGGTAAAAACCTAAATCCCACCCACCCCCACCCGCGGGGAGCGGCGGTCGGGCCTCTCAGGCGTGTACTCCCAGCGCGGCTCCGTGACTCGTCCGCGGACGCCGGTTCGAGCCCCGTCCCGGGCGCCGCGGAGCCTCAAACGTCCGTGACGTGGATTTTCACGCGTCAGGAGGCCGCCACTCCCGCCTTTCCCGCGAGGAGCGACTGGACCCCGAGGAGAACTCTGGTCCGAGCACAGCGGCGGGTCGGCCGGCCAGTCACGCGCTCCTCTCCCCGCCGCTCCCCAGCTCGCTTTCCGGAGAGACCCGGAGAGCCCTCCTGAAGGGATTTTTTTTTTTTTTTTTTTTTCCTGACTCTTGGAAGGGGGCTACAGGAGAAGAACCCCGGAGGTGGATGTTACTGAGCTGCGCGGCGCACGCGAGCTGTGAGAGGTCTGCGCCTGGCCGCGCCGAGTCTCCAGAGGATTGTCCCCCGCAGCCGGAAGGGGGCCGCGGGGAGCGCTCCTGCTCGCGGAGCTGCTCGGCGGGTGCCCGCGGCGGGCTTTCCGGATCTGAGGATCCCTCGGACGGGGGCCTCCCGAACGGCGTGTTCGCGCGCGAGTGCCAGAGCGGACCCCCGGGTCGCTGGGGACCCCTCACTTTATTCTTGTTGTGAGCGCGGCGGCGCGGCGGGGGCGGGAGAGGGCACTGCCACTTTAAAAGTGCGGAGGTCCGCCCTCCTGAGGTAATGGTAGCCTCAGCCTCCTCCCCTCCTCCTGCCCGAGAGAGCGGGGAGAGAGAGGGAGCGAGAGAGAAAACTTGTTTTCATTCATAACTTTTTCCTTTTCCTTCCTCTCCGTCAACTATTTATTCCCCGCTCGTCTCAGCGCGGATTGCAGAGGGCGCAGCTCCACCGCGGGAACCGGCGATGTGGCGACACCGCTCCGCCGCCCCGGCCCCCGGCTTGCTGCGCCCCGGCTCTTTAGGAATCCGGCTTCTCCTTTAAAGTGTAGACAGATATTTATTTATAACCCTCCCTGCCTTGGGCTTGCTTTTTGGCGCCCGCATTCGCTCCGAAGGCTTTTCCTGATTTGTAAGCATCCTTGGTGGCATACGCCAAAAGGCTTTGGAAATCCACGGTGATCCTTAGAATGTGATGGGATTGTCCGAAAAGGTATTCGACTTCGATTCGGGGCTTTCTTGGGGGAGAAGAGTCTGCCGAGAGCGTGTGAGCGTGTTTGGGGCTAGATCCAGGGCTGTCACTGCTGGAGAGGGGGCTGTGCTTCAGATCGGAGGTGGCTGACATTCTTTGCTTTTTCTTTTTATCTGGTGGCCTCCTTTACCGGCCAAGAGGAACTTTGTTACAGCTAGCATTTAAGACTCAGATTAAAGTCGTGCCTTGTGCTTTTTCTACTCTCTTCAGATCCACGTTTTTTTCTTTCGTGTGGAGTCTGACTTACTACTTCTAGATACTCTTTGCTTTAGAAGCGCTGGGTTAGGAAGTGCTTTGCGAGGAGGACTGATACTGCAGTGTAACGATGGAATCTTTTTAACAGTCCTTTGGGACTCCAGGACTAAACCCAGCAGGTAGTGACCGTGTTCCTCGGGTGGAGAGGAGGTAGAAGAAACTAGAAACTTGAGGCTCCGAGTTGGGAGAATGAGCGGGGGTAACGCCAAGAACTTAACATGTAAGATTGTCCAGGGCCATTCAGTGAAGTTAATAGATGAAATGGACTTCTTTCTGCCTTATTCCTGAAGCTGATGAGATTTGGCTCATGGTAGTGGAGAATAGGCATTTTTTCCTTTGCATTCTTGAACTGGATCAGATCTGTAGATTGTGGGAGGAATTTGTGTGAAAAATATTCTGGTTTACCATTTATGAGAACAAAAACGTTTTTTGTGTTTAATAGACAGTTTTATGAAGAATACATTATAAATTAGAAGTAATTTATCATTGGTATTGAAACAGATTTTTACCTGGATATTGCTATACTTTATTACAAGAAGCACATTGATTCAGAATTGGCAGTGCTTTTGAAAATCAAGATCTGGCATGTAAATACAGATTTTTAAATTAGAGGAAATACAGATAATTAAAATGGCCAGGATTTCCCCATATTACTTTAAAGGCTAGACACTTATTTGTATGTGAAAGTTACCTTGTTATGTGAGTGATCCTTATTTAAACTTAAAAAAAAATCAAATGTGAATGGTCAACATTTACACAACTGTACATTGAGTTTTGTGTGTGTGCTTTAGAGGCTATAAAACACCAAGAACTGTTGTGTTTGTCTGCATTCACTTTTACATCTTGTAGACTAATAGCGAGCTAGGTTTAAAATTCTGGTTTCTACTGAAGATGACCTCTTAATTGGAGATTCCATTTCAGTTTGGAGTGTCTTTTTTTTTTTTTTTAATGCATGAAGTATACCTTGACTAATTTCCTGAACACTAATCTAATGCTTATAACAGCAAACAGATAACTAAAGACAACAGCACCATAGCCATTCTTAGTTGTTTTTTTTTTTAATGGATATTTTCTTTTATGGAAAATACCCAGAGTTTCTTTAGATGAGAGCTGTTTATTAGTGCTTATTCTCAGTGTTCCCCACAAGGGCATACTCCATTTTGTTTGTTAGATTCACAAACAGGAAGACATTACTTCTTGATTCTGCTTTTTAAAAGTTGAAAAAAACTTCCAGTTCTTATGGCATGGGGTCTCTTGCTTACATTCTTCTTCTATGATGTGGTCCTAAGCCTCTCAGAATTGGACTCTGGCCAGGACCCCAGCATCATTGTAATCCGCTGATGAGGGAGATCATTACCAGGTGGTTTAGGCAATTTGTGACTTGACAGGATTTCTCACCTCTTCCCCCCCACCCCCCAGTGTTTCTAGTCATTTATTTTCTCTGTTTTTTTTTTTTTCATCTTTGATTTCCTTTTAGGATTTCAGATGCATGCCAGGTTTCCACTGATTGCCAGAAATCAAGATCACTACACATGGATCCCCAAAATCAGCATGGCAGTGGCAGTTCGTTAGTTGTGATCCAGCAGCCTGCATTGGATAACCGTCAGAGGCTAGACTATGAGAGAGAGATTCAGCCTGCTGCTATTCTGTCCTTAGACCAGATCAAGGCCATCAGAGGCAGCAATGAATACACAGAAGGGCCATCCGTGGTGAAAAGACCTGCCCCTCGAACCGCACCAAGACAAGAAAAGCATGAGAGGACTCACGAAATCATACCGATTAATGTGAATAACAACTATGAGCATAGGCCTGCCAGCCACCTGGGACATGCGGGGCTCTCGGGTAACGCCAGAGGCCCCGTACTGAGCAGATCAACCAGCACTGCGAGCGCGGCCAGTTCCGGGAGCAACAGCAGCGCCTCTTCTGAGCAGGGGCTGTTAGGAAGGGCCCCGCCAGCCAGACCCGCCCCTGGCCACAGGTCTGAAAGGGCGGTCCGGGCCCAGCCCAAGCAACTGATTGTGGATGACTTAAAGGGTTCCTTGAAAGAGGACCTGACGCAGCACAAGTTCATTTGTGAACAGTGTGGGAAGTGCAAGTGTGGGGAATGCACAGCTCCCAGGACCCTGCCGTCCTGTCTGGCCTGTAACCGGCAGTGCCTTTGCTCGGCGGAGAGCATGGTGGAGTACGGAACCTGCATGTGCTTGGTCAAGGGCATCTTCTACCACTGTTCCAACGACGATGAAGGGGATTCCTACTCGGATAATCCTTGCTCTTGTTCACAGTCACAGTGCTGCTCTAGGTACCTGTGTATGGGAGCCATGTCTCTGTTTTTGCCTTGCTTACTTTGTTATCCTCCTGCCAAGGGATGCCTGAAGCTGTGCAGGGGGTGTTATGACTGGATCCATCGCCCAGGGTGCAGATGTAAGAACTCCAACACAGTCTATTGTAAGCTGGAGAGCTGCCCCTCCCGGGGTCTGGGTAAACCATCATGATTTTTGGAGGTGGGTTGGACCTCCTGAACTTCTCTTGCTTTCAAGCTGTGGCTGTTAAAAAAGATGCTGTCAGATACTGGTTTTATTTTCTTTGCAGCTTTCCCCTGTTTCCCACCTTTCTCCCCTTCTTTCCAAGGTTTGGCTCATGGATTGTACTCTTCTCTAATGGATGGTCCGGTAAGAGTGGACTGTGAAATGCATCTGGCTCCCCCTTATGACAAGAGCCTCTGCCATCCACTTGAGAGGGTATTGAGAGCCAGTGGGCTTTTGTGTAGCCTTTTTGTTCTGCAAGCAACTTTCCAAAGTTGTACACGTGAACATATCCACACATGTACACCCAGACTACAGTGATTTAGAGTTGTCTTTGATTGGGTACTCTGGGAACAGGGAAATTGGTGTTTAAAGAAGCAGCCGTTTAATTGCTTAAATAAGCTATATATTAAACCTGTCTCCAATTAGGGCTATCTTCATAGCATTGGACACTTAAGTAGCATGGGAGATCCGTTTTTGTTACAATGTTAAAATTCTCCTTTAACCACTGCCCTCTCCTCTCTCCTCAACCTTCTATCCCCTCAGTTTTGGCCTTATCTTATTTTAGAGATGCCAGGTTTTTTGTTTTTTTTTCTGTGTTATTTTAGGTCTGCTTTACAATGTAAGTCTTCACATTGGAGATATATTGGTTGTATCTTGCTCATCCTTATTCAAGCTTTCATATTTGTGAAGGACTCGACTCCCTCCCTTCTGTACTCCTTGCTTTTCACCAAATTACTCTTGTCATTGAGGGCACTTGGATAACTGAAGTTGATATTTATATCTGATCAATCTATAGATGTCACAGAACTATGCTGCCTGAAGTGATCTTGGCTCCTTATTGGTTTTTGGCCACTTGGTTAGTTAACAGCTGGGTAGTTCTAATCTTTTCTGTTTCATTGCCTTAACCACAAATTGTGGTGCTTTTTGTATATTTTATGTATAAATCACAAAGTTGAATTCTGACTATTTTTAAGACAAAAGTCTGTTAAACTTTTTTATTGTAAAGAATATTTATTATGCGAATCTCTATTATTTTATGATATTTATTGCAAAAGACTGTTGAAATGTACTCATGTCTGAATATAACAAAATATCAATACGTAACGGAAAATAAGGTGACACGAAGAAAGTACATATGTTAACTATAATGCAGAAAATATATTAATTAATGAAACTGTCTGTTGATTTCTTCATTTATTAGCGTGTACTGTTGTGATTTTGTCATTTGCTTTGACTCTTTTCTTCATGCATACCCATTTTCTTTCTTTCCCTTAATATACCAAATCTAGATGTAGGTGAGCTCAAATCTTGAACTAGATGTTTCCTGGAAAATTCATTAATCAAGATTTTGTATTCCAAATTCTGTTTTAACAAATGCCCAAGTGAATCACTTTACAAAGTGAAAAAAGTTTTTTTGTGATTAATATTAACAATTCCGTCCCTCCTTTGGCTGTTTTGTAAGCAAGGGGTTTTGTGTATATCAATTTCTTGGAATGGGACATACCTGTATGTTTTAAATAATGTTTAACTTAACTCTTGGATTAGTCTGAATTTAATTTTCATCAGCAAAACTTAAAAAATTAGTTCTGTAGCCATACTAGCAATCTCTGGCACTGTCACTTTAATAAGACATTATAGAATTTAAGAGTGCATCAAGGGGATAGTTAACATTATCAAACAGATGTTTTAAAAACATTCCAATCCTTTTCATTCCTTTAATAAGTATTTAATGTGCCCTGATCAAATAACATTGTGTCATGTCTCTTGGAATTAGAAATGTGAGGGTGTGAAACTTTGTATTAAAAAAGTACATGCTTTTAGTTTTTAGCCTGCTGAAGTCAGGACATAGAATCTTTGGGTCCGATAAAATTTTGTTCACATGACTCCTCAGACTCATTTTCACTAACTCCTCCGAATGCCTAAGTGATGTGTCAAACCTGAATAATCAGCATTTGAGAATAAGATGTTGACATAATTTGAACCCAGGATTTAGGCTGTCAAAACTCTTATCCAGCTTTTTTGTTCTGGTTGTTGTCTCTTGCATGATTTGACTACTAGTTTTGGACTATTTATCCCTTGTAAATAGGCTTTGATTTTGTTTTAATTAAATAAGACATAAGTGATAGAAACTTTTAATGCATTTCCACCAAGCCATTAAACCTATTAGTTGGCATTGTGACTTTTGGCTTAATCAAGTATTTTCTCTATGCTCTGAAAGTAGGAACATTTTTAAAATTTCATAATCTATGGTATTTTAAAATGTGAATTTGTTTCCTCCTGTATTCAAGTTATGTGGTGATATCCCTGGTCCCTGAATATTGAATATTTCATTGAGATTTGGCTCCTTAATGAAACATATAAATAGACTCCTTCAAAATATTGTGTAACTTTTTTCTGTTGTTTAGACCCTTCATATAATCAGAAATTGGTGTAAGAGCTGTCTGTAGTTAAACTAACCAGACTAAGAAGCTATGGCTTTTGTTGAAAGAAATTTATAACTTTTATGAGAATAAGGTATGTTGTGGAGTTTTAACTTCTGGCTATATGGGGAATACATTAAAATTATTAACATGGCAGTCTGCTGCTGCTAGGGTTCTATATGCACTCTGGCATAATGTCAGGCCCATATTTGGAGATAGCAAAATGTTAGGGGTTCAGACTTCTAACATGCCTGCCAGAGACAAAGAATAACACTTTGATTCAAAACTTCCTCCTTTGTGATGGTTTAAACCTAGAAGAAAAAATATTAGGATGTGTTTTCATCAGTGCTCATGAGTCCAATTTGTTTGAACCGAATACTGATGATCATTTTAAAGTGCTGAGGCTTTGAAAGCATTGGCACAGCTGACATTTCTTATAATACCCCTGCCATTTATTTGATACTGCCAAGTTAAAAATACCACATAGATAGATTAACCTTTCCCTTTTATTCCACAATTTTGTCCCTCTTCCTCAACTACCAAAGCTTGACAGAATGAGTATTTTTTAAGTAGTTCCTTTCCAGCATGTTTTCTGAGTGCTGTTCTTTTCATTCAAAGAAGTTTTATTTGGATAATTTAATTGTGAATAAAACCAGTAGAGGATTTCTGTAATTGAGTAATTTCCTGTCAACAGTTTAATAAAATGTAATTCAGCAGAAAAATGGACTATGAAAAAGTAGATATACTTTTTTGTGAAGGCTTGAGGTGAATCCTTAAATTATAATCTGTGATAATTATTATATAGTTTTCAAAATACAAATCATAGAACTTTCCAGTTATGACTAAGAAAAAAAATTAAAAACAGTGGTTTTTAAAGTTAAGGGAAATAAGTTAACTAATCATGATTTTACCCTAAAGTTAATATTGAAATCAAACTCAGGATTCATTTGCAGAAGATTGATTTAATTTTTGAAATTGTCTCCTTTTCCTGAATCTTCCCTTTTTTTGTTGAGTGATGTATTTCATGGTAGTTTTATGTATAACTCTTTAGCAAAAAGGCATAATCCCATTTTTAAACATTGAAAAATGGAAACAAAGAATGTCTAGACAGTTCTCGTCTTAAACTTTGCCCCACCTCCGACTGTATATATATTGCAAGAGAGTTTGGTATCATTTTTTAAACATCTTGAAGACAAAACTTTAAATCCCCCTTTGGCCAGTTGACAGTTGGAGAGCTGTTTTTTTCATTATTGCCCTCACTAGATAAGATGGCCATGAATTTAACTGACAAGTTTTTGATTCTTCTCATATTACCTCAGATTATTACCAAGCCATTTTTCTGCATGTATTGAGCCCCTACCATGTGCATTATTCCATATGGAGAAGAATTCTAGAGCTAGAAATAGATATCAGAATATACTTTATGTTTCTCAACCATATATGAAAGTAAATAGGTCACTAGTTAATAAGTTAAAAATCAGAAGTCTGTGTCATAGTTCAGACCTACTCTATCAGAAGATATCTCCAGGGGAGGAGTTTGATATTCTTAATTTCAAAATCTCCTTGGGTGAGTTTATCAGGCAATCTTGTAATTGCTTTTTTAGCTTCATGTCGTCATCTTGAGAATAGAGAAACAAAGGCCTGGCTTAAATGTTCATGATAGCTAGCATAGAACGGACTCTTCAGATACAGGGTTTTCTTCATTTCTTAGCAGCAAGCCTGGTACCTTTATGTTGCACATTAGCCTTTACCATTTCTTTTAACCAGAAAGTGTTTCCTTCATAATGAATATATTTGACCATAACTTAGGAAATGGAATGTTTTTCTTCGTATATTATTTACACTTAGCTATCAGGAATATGTAGCAAATGACTTCATTGCCATGATTATTTTTCATATGTTATTATTAAATTTAACAACTTCATTTGAAAACAGATTGTGTGCTTCCTCTGGCCAGGTTTATATGGTAATAATAGAACAAATTGATTTTGATCAGTTTGTAAAGCTAACAGTAACCTGGCATCTAGATTTAAGAACTTACATGATGGCTCTTAGCATTATTCTAGTTATATCAAAATTATAGTGATTAAAAAGCAGATTTAAATGTTCTATTTTGTACTGATAAAAAGATTGGTGTTAAAATCAGATAGCTGAATCATACTAGGTATGCCAGTAACAGCAAAACCTAGAGACTGTTTTGAACTGGGCAATTTGGGAAAGCGTACTAAAGCTTCTATCATTCACTAGCAAGTAGTCCAAGAGCTTGTTTTGATAAAATAACCATAGAATCATACTTCTAATGATAGAAACTTGGAGGTCATCTATTGCATCTTCTTTAGAGATGAGAAAGCCAGGTTCACAGAGCTTACTTACCTTACTTAGTCATGATCTAGTTGCCAAACTAAAATAAACTTTATAAAAAACTGCTTGCTGCATATGTACCTGTGTAACAGATTGAAAGGAAGGAGAGGTTGGTTGGGGGAACAAGACAAGAGTTTAAACCAAAATTTCAGGTTAATTTGTAAGTTATAAAATTTAACAAATTTGTGAAAGCACAATGGACTAATAGTAGTGAATACTAATAGTAGTCCAAGCAGAGAAGTAAGTGCCTTATTTAGAAAGGAATCAGACAAAACTAGCTGAATAAATTTGATGTAAGAAAGTAAGGTGTGTATTTGAGAAAACTGAGTTCCTGTTTGGCTAGCAGCAGTTCTCAACTTCATTTATAAATAGCAACAAACAAAACCTGTGCCCTGGGTGGGGCTTTGACTTTTGTTTATCTTACAAGCACCCCAGATGATTCTACAGCATAGCCACAGTCAAGAGGCTCTGAATTAAATTATAGGTACATGTAGAAGAATCACAGGTGATTAAAATGGCAGATATTAAAGTAGGAGGCCAAGTAGAAAGGTATTAAGGGTCAGAACTAACTTGGAGGTTAATAGGAAGGGAAAGGAGGGATCAATGTGAGACATATATCTAAAGGACTTGGCAGTTATCTGTGGTTTTGAGATAGAGGAAAAAATTGAAAATGATACTGAGGTTTTTGGACCAAGGAGAATAGGCAAATGGTAGTTCTGTTGAAAGAGTTGGGTGGACTTAGTTTAGGAGGTATGTGGGGTGGGAGAGTTATGAGTCCTATTGGGATAAACTCTTACAATGCTGCTGAGTTGCCAGAAGCTCACTGAGAAAAAAAAAGTCTAGAATTTTAGAGGAGGGTGATGACCCATCATCCACATTGGGGTGATAGGGATTCTGTTGCATAGATTCCCAAGAGAAAATGAAATTAAAAACAGGCTTGGGATAAAACCTTGAAAGTGAAAGTGAAAGTCACTCAGTCATGTCCAACTCTTTGTGACCCCATGGACTGTAGTCCATGGAATTCTCCAGGCCAGAATACTGGAGTGGGTAGCCTTGCCTTCTCCAGGGGATCTTCCCAACCCAGGGATCAAACTGAGGTCTCCCACATTGCAGGCAGGTTCTTTACCAGCTGAGCCTCAGACCCTGAGGAACGAACCTACATTTAGAGGGCATGTGGGGCACCTCGGGCCAGTAGAGAGGTGGTCAAAGAAGCACAGGCACTGAAAGATGGAACTGAACTCTCTGGACTGCTCTGCACTTCATCAGATCCTCTTGACCACATGTTAGCGGCCAAAGGAGACTTTGAAGATAGGAATTAGTCAAAAACTGCAGGCTCCCAGCTAAATTTGGTGGGTGGTGTTTAGGTGAAATTGTAATAAGAACCTGGTTGCATGGGGT